GCGTCATTTTCTCGATTGTCGAGGAATTATGATATATATATATATATCGTGTACTAGCGGTATTAACGCTCAAACACCTAAATATATTGAAACTATTATAATTCTGTTTAGAGAAAGGAGTCGTGTATAATAATAAACTTTGGCTCTTTTTTCGAGCCTCGAAACCTGTTTTTTAAAAGGCACCGTTTATTTTATTCGAAAAACTAGCGAGTCGCACAGTAGTGTACAAAACAACACGTAACACGTTTAAGCTACATAAATTTCTGCAAGGCCGACGCTGCGCCATGCATTTTTATACTGCAACGATTTTTGTTACGACAATTATTGTAATACTAAATTTTAAAGAGCAAGTTTTATTATAGCAAACGCAATGCAATAAAATTCGTTGCGATGAACGACCACTATAAATTTTGTAATTGCTTATACCGTTGACGAAATTTATTCAAACCTGGATTTATTTGAAATTGGATTCATTTTATTCACCAGATTCACTCGATATTGCAGTAAATTTTATTGTAATGAATGCCACGATGTCAGATTTTAAACAGCAGGTACAACTCGTTGTAACAGTTGCCATGAATTTCGTAACTGTTTATACTGTTCAACGAAATTCACTAAATATGTCGGAAACAAATTTCGTTATGTATAATAAATATTGCGATATGGCGTTTCGGACAATGAATTTTACTACAACTACGAAACGTAACTGTAATGAAATATTCGTGACGAACAGTTACTGTAAATTTTGCAACAAATAAAATTTATATAAGAAATGAGTCTTGTTGCATCGGATGCACTTGCAGCGTCTCCAAATTGTTAAAATCGCCGTCGTTACATTTTCAAATATTTCAACTTTACTCTTTCCACGCTCCAAAAAAAAAAAAAAAAAAAAAAAAAAAAAAAAAATAAAAGAAATGAAAAAAGAAGAAGAAGAAGAGACTAGAAAAGGGAAAAGAAGGGAACGACAAATGTTTGAAAAGGGAAAGAAAGGGCCCCAGATACAAACGCACACGTACAGGAATTGTCGAGAGTATTCCACTCACGTGCATCGAATCACTGCTTTCCACCCTCTCCCCCCCCCCTCTTTTCACCATGCGATATTTCTCTCGTCCTCGTGCCGATTTCCACCTCCCCCCTCCCCCTCGCTGTCCGTGTTTTCAACCCTCTCGTTTCTGTTTCTTCCACACTCTCACCCCCCTTCTTTTTTTTTTCTTTTTCTTCTCTCATTTTCTGTTTCTACGTCGCTGTCTCCTGTTCTTCCTTCACGCCTCGCCTTCCCGAGAAGAGGCCGAGGAATTCGTCGCACGTCGCCCGCGACACAGCCTCGCGAGGCTTTTCAGAAACGCATTTGCACATGACGAGAGGAGGCGACGAGGGAAAACCGGCCAGGTGGTGGTCTGATAAAAAGAAGGAGACCGAGAAACGACAGAGGACGAACGAGGGTGACAGATCAACGGTGTCTGTCATCGGACGCCCGTTTTCCTTACGCGTCGTCGCCAATCCGAGCACTTTCCCGCAATTTTTGCTCTCGAGCCTCGGATCTTTCCCTTTTCTAGTAGAATTTCTCGAGTGAGGCGGAAACTCTTCAGGTTTTCGAACGTCTTTCCGTCGTTCCGACAATTATGGAATATTCCCAAAGCGGTTTTTTTTTCAAACTTTTGCAGTTTCTCGAAGAACAAAAAAATAATTCGCACTTCCATGCTCGAGCCTGTTGTCATTTCGTGAAATAGAAACAGAAAAAAGAAAAAAAAAAAAAAAACGAAATCGTTTGGATTCATTTTTTTTTTTTGAAGCGTGAAGCTTCCACCGATTCTGGATTTGTTTTTTTTTCCACGATGATGCTTTTTTTTGTGTTGTGAAGATATTGCTTTCTTCTTTGTTTTTTTTTTTTTTTTTTTGCTATTTTCGAATCCATTGTTTAATATAAAGTATATTACAAAATATATATATATTTATATTTTTAATAATTTTTAATAATTTTATTAAAATATATATATATTTTTATTTTTAAATCCATCGTGAATTTGAAGATCGAAGCTTTTGCTTTGCAACGAGTCTTTTGAAACTTGCTGCAGAATTTTGTTTTCTTCTTTTCCTTTCTGGTCAAGTTATTGAATTTTGAGGACAACGACAAATCTCGACGAAATCTTGGAATGTTTCTGTTCGAACGTTTCGCCTTTTCCCTTGGAATCGAGAATTTTCAATTCTTCTCGGATAGCGAGGTGTCTCCTTCTTCGTGAGATTAAATATTTTTCGTTCCGATTTTTATTTCGGCATTCTTTCTTCCGTGGAATCGAGGAGAAATTTTCAGGCGCTGCATATTTCAACGGTATCTTTATTTTTACATAGTAGTGTGTCTTTTCTTTCCTTCCTTGAAATTGAAAAGAAATTTTTGGATGGTGTGTTTTCAATAATATATTTATTTTCATGTAGCAACATGTTTCTTCTTTCGTCAGACTATATTTATATTTATATATAATATTTTTGATTATTCCGATCTCTATTCGAGCATTCTTTAGAATTAAAAAGAAATTTTCAAATGACAATATATTTTTTTCTTTTTAAATAGATTTCAATTGATTCTGATTTTTGTTCGAACGTTGCTTCCTTGAGAATTGACAATGACAATTTCTGGATATCTTTCCGACGATTTATTTTCACACAGCAGTGTCTCTCCTTTTGTAGAATTATATCTTGTCGATATTTTAGATATGTCTCGTCTAATAATTTTTGTGCTCTTTTCACATGTAAAGATTTCCAAATATTTCCTAAACTAAAATTGATATTTTCTAAACCTATTTAAATTTGTATTTATTGAAAGAGACATCCTTCGTTCGAATATCGAAAAAATTTACTACGAATTTGGACCTATTCCAGAAGAATTTTCGAGAAGATTTACTGGTATAACATAAATAATTTCGTAACGAACTACCATTCTTCACCACTGTGAACGATTTGTAATATTTAAATACGTGTAATATTTATGATCCATGACTCATGCCACTTTCCAACTGCCAACGCAGAAATATTAAAATTTAAGGATTCAATTTTTAATGAGAAATATTACAAATTTAAAGTTAAGTTAAAATATAATCATAAAACATATTTATAAAATAAAATATAATTAAAATATTAAAATTTAAAAATTTATTAAGGCGAGCAATATCGTCCATCAGGCGAACAAAAGTCACAAACCGTCCCAAACAAAGTTTCTCTCATCGGAACGTTAGTTTACGAAATTTCGAAGGGAGAGAAAGCGGATTCATTAGGAATTATCTGGCATTCCTTCTTTCGTCATTTAATTAGATCGTCAAAATGGAAGAATCTCCCCCTCTTCCTTCATTCTTTTTTCTTTTTTTTTTTCGGCAGCCGGAAACGAAGCGGCGGTGAAACGAAAAGTCGAAAGGGATCAACCGCGGCAAAATTCGGTAAACAGTGCGCGCACGCGATCCTGAACGACGAAACGGGGACAAACAACGCGCCGGATGTTGGGAAAAATAATGAGAAGCAAATACGAGCCTGTCGGAGTCACGACAAAATCATTGCAATTACGAAAATTAGGGGTGGCACGGATATTTCGTTCTCGTTTAGACAAATACAGGCAGATTTCATTTTTCTTCAATTTCGTAGTTTCTTTTAATTTCTTAATTTCTTCTGAATTTTTCTAAATTTTGTTCAAGGAATTCAATTTCTTCTAAATTTGATTAAAAGCTCAATTTCTTAAGAATTTTATTAAAAATAGAAAAAGGTATATTTAGAGGTCTTCGTGCAACATTTGACAAAATGACTGTCCACCGAGGATGGAATTTGATCGTTCAACTCTTATCACCGTTGCAACTCCTTCCGAGTGTAAATTAATAATAATTATAAGTGTTATATACTGACGTTAATATTGAAAACTTTGTGTAATTACCCAGTGTCCCCTTTAAACGTTATTTCCATTCGCCAGTTTACTATTAATTGAACCGTAATTAAAAACCCGCTTGTTATCATTTTGTTTCTCTTTCTATTACTTCTGTTTTTTTTTTTTTTTTTTTCAATACTCGGAGAACTCGAATTAACTCTGAATTTCATCATCTCGCGGAACAGAAACTGAACCTCAAATGTCACAGCCTTGAAAACTCGCCGCCACCGTCAAAGTAGAAGCCACTAGGAGAGAATGGCTAATCGTCGAAAGAAGGAAATGGCAAAAAAAGAAAAAGTCTCTAAGAAACTAAAACTCGGGAAGAAAACTCGCCAGAGTGATGGAGAGAGGTTAGCCAACGGGAAGCCTTTAAACACCGGAAGGGAAATCGAATGGAAAATCCGAGAGAACGTGCCAGGGAACTTCATAAAGAGCATCCCCCCCCTCCTCGGTTCAAACGAAACAGAATTCGAGCGGATGCATTACGACGACCAAGAGAGAGAGAGAGAAAGGAAAAATAAAGGAACAACAATAAACGGAGGCAATGGAGACAATAGTCGTTGGGACAAGCAAGCAGGAAAACAATGGTCACTCGAAATGAAAGATGGAGGAGGCCAAAGACGAGGTCCAAGAAGCGGCGGAAGATGGAAAAGTGGCGGAGGGCTGGAAGAATGGATTACGAGACAAAGAGCCATGAAGAGATCCTCGCAAAGAGGGATGGATCCTCGGAATAATGGCGAAAAATTTTTATGGATTTGCCAGGCGTAATTGCAGGCACGCACAGCCGAGAGAAAGATGTAGAAATATTAAAAAAAAGGGCGAGCGGATGGAGAGAGGTAGAGCCGCTGAGATTAATGCTGTCACGTGAAAAGCTGTCACAGAAGTCGCGATGGCGGACGTGGATCAAACTCCTCTTACTCGTTGTTTTCATAGAGAACTAATTATTCCTCGTGGACAACGCGATATCACTGTGCAAAAGTCTTGCAGTTTCTTTTTTTTTTCTCTCTCTCTCTCTCTCTTTGTGTGTGTGATCGTCTTGTTTCGTCGTGAATTAATTTCATTCGAAATGAAAATGGTCCTTTTCTCTGTATTGCAGATCCTCGAGGGGTGCCAGTGAATCTGCAGTTTGGATTAATCGTCAAACTCAAAAAGGTGAGTGAGTAACAACGTAATATGATGTTCATAGTTCGTAGGATTTTGTTCTACGACGAAAGTTACATATATTGGTCAAATGTATTGCTTTGAAGTAAGATAACAAGGTTGAATGGTGAATTTTGCATTGACGAATGTTTTTATTCTTTTTTTTCTTAAATTTAAATAGATGTAGATATTTGATAATATTACTTAATATATAAGATTGACTATTAGATATACACGAGGAAAAGAGAGAATAAAAAGTATGTTTATTATCTCCTAAATAACTCTTCTAAATGTTTCAACAAAGAAATAAAGGAATAAATGAAATAAAATGATAGGAGTAAAATAATATGGTCTATTCTCAGACATTTTGAACACATAATCAGTATTAATATTTTTGAATTTCAGTATCAATCAAATCAAAATATGTCAAACTGAGTTTAGTAACAGTTTTCCATTTGAAAATCTGTGGTTCCCTTGAAAAGGAAAAATATATTCAACTGGTACATATGGTTTTCTCTGAAAATTCGTGAATTTAAATCGTATTTTACAAAAATACGCATCTCAGATACTAAAAAAAAAAAAAAAAATTTGTGACAATAAAATTCAATAAATAATAAAAAAATAATAATAATAATAACGATAAAAAATTTCTGGGACCACAAATTTCCATCTCTTCTCTGTTACTTAACCACTTGCGGCTGGCAACTGATTGCGGACCATAACGAGCGACCGAACCGTATACAATAATTTAACGCTTTCTTTTTCTCTCGAACTCGTCGGTACGATATCACTGGATAGAAATTATTAAGAAGTAACAAACTTGTCGTTTATTTTGCCCTGGGTTACATTTAAATTTTAAATTAATAATTATTAACATTTAAATTTCAAATTGATAAACCAATAATTAAATTAATATGTACAACTGAGAGAATGTTGCAATTTGGAACAAAAAATTCTCAACGTGCGTGGCACGTCATTCTAGTGCAAGAGGTTAACCATTGATTGCGGACCATAACGAGTGACCAAACCCGTATACGATAATTCGTCGTTTCCTTTTTGAACTAACGTCGATGCGATATCACTGGATAGAAATTATCGAGAAACAATAAATTCATCATTTATTTCGCCTATTTTTGTTTTACTGAAATATACTTAAGACTGAGAAAATATGACAATTTTGGAACAAAAAACTTCTCGACGTGCTTAATGAGGTTAAACACTTTCATCGTTCGTTTCATTGACTTTGTTTCCGACGATTATGTCTCGTTATTTGTTCTCGAACAGTTCTACGAAAACACTGTAAAAATCCAATTTAACCAAGAGAGAAAAAGAAAAAGAGAAAGAGAGAGAGAGAGAGAGAGAGCCAGTAAAAGGAAAATCGTGAAATCTCGACTCACCGGAGGTTATTTGTTTGTACATGAAAGCGGCGGATCTACGGGTCCCTCGATCGATCCACTCACCTCATGGCCGCCTCTTTTGTTCATTTGTCCCCTCGATCACGCGAAGCGTCGATTTTGTTTGCACCGCGATATCCACCAGCTCCGGATCCGACGACGAAAAATAAATTTTCCCCCATGGTCCGTCTGTAATCAGATTAATTAGCTGAGAAACGATTTTGAACGTTTGTACGACGACGATAATCGAATCGAGCCGGCCGAGAGATCGATATAGTCCGGGGTTGTGCATCATCGGAATATTTTCTCTCGCTTTGGGAGTTGGCGTTATCATCTACCATTTCGCTGATTTTCAAACGACGTTCTCAAACGATTTGCTTTTAAACGATATTATATTCAAATGATCAATCGGACAAACGAGATTGCGCGATACGATTTAGACGATTTTTTTTTTTTTTTTTTTTTTTGTTATTGCGAAAATAATGAAAAGAAAGGAATCTAAAAGAATTTAGTTTCGATCTTGATGTGTGTATTTGGTAATTGGGAATCTGGGGATTTCGAAGTTTGAAAATTTAAACGCTCGGAAGTTTAAAGATTTGAAAATCTGGGAATTTGGAAATTTAAAACTTTAGAAACTTGAGAATTTAAAAGTTTGAACGCTGAGAGTGAAAATTTGAAAATTTAGACGCTCGGAAGTTTAAAGA